AATGGCCGCCTCTTTGCCTTCTCCGCTGGCCAGTTTCTGGATGAGTCCCTTTATGGGAGCCTCGGCTTTGCTCCCGCTGGCTAGGACGGCCAGAAGAGCCTCCTCGTATTTACTGTCCGCCGCCATGACGCGCGGGAACAGGTCAAGACCCAAGGTCGCGAGATCCAAGTTGCACAAAAATGGGATGAAATTCTCCAAAATTGATAAACAAAAAATTCAATAAAAATAACAGACTTGTTTTCAAAGTGAAACCCCCCAAGAATTCCACTATAAACCAGCCACGGAATCGAGGGTTTGTGGTCGCGCAAAACTTGGGCGTCCGGTGTGACTCGCGATAGCGGCTTATCTCAATTTTTTTGCGACCTTCATGGTGGGGGCGGGGTTAATTCCAGCGCCCAGCTCCAGGCAGACGGTGTTGCTTATGTAAGACGGTCTTCCGCCGTATTAGACGGTGGCCTTCGTTTTTAGAGGTGAGGAAAGGGCATGCATGCAACCTTGAAGAATACGAGGACGACTCTATTCCACCACCCACTGGCCATCGTATGTAACCTGACAAACTTCGAGCTAGGAAACTTTTCAAGTCAGGTCTTGTTGGGAACAGCTCAACATTCATTTACCAGCGCAGTCCAACCAGGACACACGCAACAGTACACACAAGCAACACAAGCAACACAAGTAGAGACAGCTGGGGATGTGATGACACCTATAGGAACACCAAGATAAGGGCGCCGCCACGGCATGCCCGAGAAATAGCGTTGTATTGCATGGGCGATCGTCGAAGATCACCCGTCAATCAATGCAAGATAGAGGGACACTAGACGAGTACTCGAGATAAGCAGGGGTGTCGGACAAGAAATGTGTATATCTCCGATCACATGTAGATACTATACTAAGCGATAGGAGTAAATCTTGTTGTCCACATCAGATGGGATCTAGGAGCACTTTGTAACACGGAGATAATATGAAGGGTAACTGTTGGTCAGTAGGAACAGGATACAAACCTACCAGAACATGCAAAAAGTCAACATCATTCATGGCAAACATAGTCATAAGCTTTCGTGAGTTCAATGCTGGTATTCACTTCCAGTGCATTATTCATTCAAATAGCAACCCGGCACTTAAGGCCACATCTCGCCAACTCGGGGTATATATGCCACACTCCACCATGCACCATCAAGTCTAATTGCAATGATTAAATAATAGAAAAGGAAAAAGACACGGCGACATGTCAGATCAGCGGAAAGAGACAGGGAGAAAGAGCCTGCATATCTCGTCGACGGTAGCAATCATTGACCGGAATAAAGGGTCACACATAACAATCATCAGGGTACCAGCACCACATAGATCATCATTCAGCACCATCGTCACCCATGACATTTCTTTCACATCTTCACCACATCACCGTGTTTGACACTGGGAAGTTTATTCCTCAGGGTACTTGTTGCGGCCAATGCCGATGAGCTGAAGCATCTCGGCCCAGAAGCCAGGTGGCTTTGTAGTGAACCGAGCTTCGTAGCGATCAATGACAGGAGCCTCCCAGACCAGGTCGCACTCTTCGGGCTTGACGAACTTGGTCTTGTGGTACAGCTTCCAGCCACTGAATGTAAGAATGGCGATGATCTGCATGGAGTAACCACGGAAGAAAACCTCGACATCAAACTTGGGCCTGAAAGCCTCGTACTGGTAGAAGATGACCAGGAGCATCTGGAAAGTAAGCGCGATCCAAGCGCCGTAAGGCTGGAACCAGCCCTTGTAGTGCAGCTTGTTGCGGTCAAAGTTCTGGGCCTTGACAGCGCGCCAGTAGAAAAGGAAAGTGGTTGACATGATGAGGAAGTCGATGATACCACCAGCAGTCATGAGGGCAACCAGCCAGTCGAGAACCTTGGCAGAGCCGGAGTTGAGCTGAAGCAGAGAGAGGAAGGGGAAGATCATGACAATGCAGAAGCACCAGATGGGCACACCGTTGCTCAGGGTGTAGCGGAGAATGCGGGGGGCACGGCCCTCGAGAGCCAGACCATACAAGGAACGGGTGGCGCAGAAAGTGTAGGTGTTGCCGGCAGAGAAGATCGAAGTCAACATGAGAACGTTGACGATGTGTGGCAGCACCGTGATACCCATGTTACCCATGGCAATAACATAAGGGGAAGCACCAGCACCAGCGGTGTTGGTTTCAACACCCTCGATCTCTGCACCATTGGCAACGGCGAGCTTCACGTCGTTGGAGGGGAGCACGATTCCAACACACAGAGCACTGCCGAAGAAAAAGAGGGCGAAACGGAAGTACACGGTCTTGAAGGCGGTCTTGATGTAGATGCGGGGGCGTTTGGCCTCAGCAGCGACCATGGAAATGTATTCGGGACCAACGACGGCGAAACTGGCATTCCACAGAGCAGCAAGGAACCCTTCGAACCGACCGAGCGCTCCAGAGCCGAGGTACTCCTTGAATGCGCCAGGGTTCTGCCAGTAGTAAAAGCCATAGGCGAACTTCTGGGGGTTGCCGCCAACCATAGTAATGAATGTAAAGGCGAACAGCATGAAGATCAGGATGACTTTTCCGCCGGAAAGCCAGAATTCAGCTTCACCATATCCGCGAACAGCAAGCACGTTCAGAAGACTATACAATCACACAATTCAATGTTTAGCATGCAATCTTTCAATCAGAAGGGGGGAAGCAGGGGGTGTCGGGAGAGCAGGCAGTTTCCATGAAGTCAAAGCGAAGAGTGCATGCACACACGCCCATCACGAACACTGGCACAACATAGGACGAGGCGGAGGTCGCCTGTCTCTCCCTGGGAGGCAGATTCCTTACCCATATAGCAAGATGATGCCGAGGCAGATACCAGCAGTTGGACCAGGAGTGGGGATCTGGTCGCTCCAGTACGAAGCCACCAGACTGAAGGCAGTAATTTCAAAGGGGATCAGCAGGGCCTCGTATAGGAAGAAGTTCCAACCGGCCATGAAGCCGAAGGCGTCATCAACCCAGTGACCAGCAAGACGGATGAAGCCACCAGACACGGGCATATGGACAGTCATTTCAGCGACGGAGTTGTTGACGAGAGCGAGAATGCACGGGTAGATAGTGTAAGCCAGGAACAGACTGCCGGGGCCGCCTTTGTAGAGACCGCCGCCAATGCTGACGAACAGAGCAGTACCGATGGAACCACCAATGGCGATCAGCTGGATCTGACGGTTGTTGAGACGACGATGCAGACCGTCGGCGTTGTCTGCCAGGTGCCCATCCTCAATGTCGGGGGACCCGGGGGAGTCCACCTTGACGTGTTTTTCCTCATCCATGGTGAATGAGGGCCGTCGGCGAGACGAATTGGCGACGAGTTCGGGGTGTCGATCAGCTTACCAGAAGCCAAGCCAGAGGATTCGAGGAGGGAGGAGGAAGATTCAATGAATCAGAAGAGATCGACCAAGATATCCCAACTGAGAAGAAAGAACAGAAGGGAAGATGGCTAGGTGGCTCATGGGAGAGGAAACAGAAAACAGGGAAAGGCTCTATCGCAGACTGAGGTGGGCGCGTCGAGTATTTAACCTGAGCAGAAGCAGCAGTGCGACCAGCGATCGCTGTTGGTGGTAGGCAGGGACGGTGGAGTTGGCAGGCATCATCATGGTAATTAGATGGCCACAAATGGGCAGACTGCAGGAGCCGCACCTACACTCGCCCGAGAGGGTGGGGACCAGGCTCAATGGCCGCCGCCCCAGGCAAGTACCTCCCAACCTTACATACGCGCATCCTGCGAGTCGAGCTGGTGTAAATGTCGCATACAGTTAACCTCGATCGTGGGCGGACGGCGAATGTCTGAGGCCGGGATACGGTGGACCCTCCCCCAAAAGCCTTGTCGCAGCAGCGAGTTGAGTTGAGTTGCTCCATTCCAGTGGGCCCCACGGCACTAGTGCCCTAGCGCTCTCGCCCCATCCACCTCCCATGGGCGCTGAGGCTTGGCGCAAGGTACCTGTTCCACCGCAACACGAAGCCACTGGAGTAAACCTCTGCTAGCTGTTAGCAGGGTACTCGGCTGGCCGTGATTTGTCGCCTGGACACGCTGTTCTGCGCTATCCTCTGTTGCTGACTACGGCAGGCACACACCATCCACACCTTCTGCACATAATGCACCTCCCACGAGACCGACAGTGCCACCTTACGTAGCAGATGCATCGAGGGTGGCGGGTTGAGAATCGATGATAGGTGCTGCTGATGTGCACCGTGGAAGTACCCGGCGTTCCCTTTCTTCTAGAATGCCCTCCACGGAAGATTCATGAGCCTCTTCGACACGGCTCCCGCAGTTCATTCAACTTGGCATGCTTGGATTCTTGGCCATGCCAGGGCTCATTCAACTGATCAGCATCTGACAATAGCTGCTAGCAACACGAAAATAGCATGCTAAAAAGCCATCTCGTAGTACGCAAGTACTTCAGACCTCCAACAATGATCAATGAGCGGGCCCGCCGACCCACGCCGCCAACATGCAGGAATCAATCCAGCGCCTTCAATCTTCCATGGCTTCTAATGCATTTGGAGAACCTATATCCACATCTCTTCGAGTCTAGAGCAAGATATTCGAGGATCGGGCGCTATGACAAGCATATTCAGCGAAGAACCAGGCGATCACCATCCAGCTGCAAGCCATCTCGTCGTCCATATTCCCACCACACAAAACATCGATCACCGACACGCCAACGCCCGGGACCGGTGAAACTCTACGCACAAAAGAACCGCGACAGACACTTCTTCTCCCCGACACCACCTATGTCATGCTTGGCAGCTGACCTTCCCGATTCGGGCCAGGGAGCGTCAGCAATCGCACTGTAGCAGCTCTGCCCGCTGCTTGCGCCAGGAAATACAGTGGCGTCCACAGTGCAGGTGGCTCCCTGCCCGCAGCCTTGGCAGAAGGCAGCCACATAAGACTGCCCAGTAGGAACGCTCGCTGCATGTACAAAAATACAAGTCCATGCTTCGTCCGGGCATGGGGCCTGGGTAGGATTCTCCGGCCATGCGTGTATGTGGAAATACCCCGGCTCCCTTGTAGCTGATGGATCGGCAGTGGTGCAATCCCTTCGTCTGGGGCAAGGACCTCTCGAGCATCAGCATCAACGGCCACTACCACCACGGCCGGGCAAGCATGAATAATAGAGTCCCCGTGCAAAAGCCAGGCGGCGTGGTGGATGCGTGCGGTTCAGACGCTTCCGTTGGCGTCACCGTCCATAACCCAACGACGGCTGGGAGGAGCTCTCTAGCGTCCTCTCCGTCGGTGAGCTTCGGCCGCCGGGCAGAATGGATTCGATTATCTGGCTCCCGTCGCCGTACCGTGTACGTAAACCCTCTGACAACGTCGCCTCCCAAGGCCAGGGTCCCTCGGTCGTACAAACTCTTGCAGACGTCTAGTTGGGTTCATTTCACATCAGGCCTTTGATGAGCTGCGCAAGAGCCCCTGCTAGTACCCAGCAAGACAATGTACTCGCATCAATAGCGGCGCAATGGCCATGAATTATTCACATGGGAATTCGATCAAGCTACACCAATGAGCCCGGGCTGAGAGAAAAAAATTACCCTGTGCTATTATGTATGCTCCTCCGAATAGTGAGCTCCCGCGAGGATTTAGGCGGCCTTCTCAGCGAGTAAGCACTCCGTTAGCCTGGCACTATGGCCGTTAGCGGCATCCCGAACGTCGCTAGCAAACCGTTTTCTACAGGCCAGACGGCCCAAGACGGCCATGACGGGCCTCTGAGACAGAATCCGGCGTAGAGCCCGGCAAAGTCACTTGCGCCGTAATGAGGAAACGGAAAATGAAGAAAAAACTCTTACGCTGCGCCCCAGATCTATCCAATGATCTCAATTACCTAATGGTTTGGCCCATCCCCACGGAGTAAAGGCCAGCAACCTTCACCTTGGGTCGGCGGCGCTATTCTGTGCGAACAGGGGTGAGATCTCGCTGGCACAATGACATCACTGCGGCTGGAGGCTCGGGCTCGCCGTCTGCCTCCCGTCGAGGTGTCGCGTGACACCAGCCTTGGGCCATCGCCCTGCATCCGACGATGCGGCTGGACCAAAGAGGCAGCAGAGGTGCCCGAGAAGAGAGCCAGCCGCGATGGCCATGGAGCCGTGCAGAGCAGAGCTGAAATTTGCTTATGAAACACGCCATGAGTTATGAATTATGGAGAGGCCTATCGGACCACTTTACAGGCTGTGCGATGGGGACTGACTCTGCATTGCGCAAGGATCTCAGCTCAGTGGGCTAGCCCCGACCAGGAGTTTACCCCATCCCATCACTCGGGCGAATAGCCATGCATGGTTCTGAAAATCTCGTTTCTGACTTGCTTCTTGCCTTGAGATCCCTGCCCAACTCTAACCCCAAGGGACGCTCGAGAGATTGCCTTTCCTTTGGCAGTCTGGCTTGTGAACATAGCAACGTTGGGCCAAGGCCTCCACTGATGGAGCAGACAACCCAGGTATTAATTGCATCATTTCACTTTATTTATAGTTGTCCCTGGTTCCGGACTAGACTTTTACTACATGCTGAGCTACACTCGAGGCACAATTCTAAAGCTGGCTTACGGCGGCCCTGCATTGGTGTGTCTGCCCACACCACACTCTGGCAAAGCCATGTGCCTAATCCCAAACCACCACAGACTCAGCTCATCAGCACCAGAGTCAGACTGTACTCGGTGCCGGTATGTACCCCTTCTTCCATCTCGAGAACAGGGCGCCCGGGCAATATCTCCACTTTTATCATGGGATATTGCTGCTGATAAAGTCCATATGCATGCATCATGCCGACCTTGTCAAACTCCTTCTCAATGAGAGGGTGCCATCCGGCCATCGCTTTGCAATAAATTCCCTTGTCCAATCGAGACGCAGCGATACTCCAACCAGAGAACCAGCCAACGTCGTTCAACCCAAGCATATCGCCTAGACTATCCTCTTCCGTCTCTGCACCGCGCCGTCTCAGCTAATGACTCAGTGTCTTGCCTCCGAAAGCTATACAGTGCATGTTACCACCCTAATAGTTCCTATCTTGCCGAAACATACCAGCAATTACTTTGTTGATGTCCTCTACCATTCCATACTGCCACTTTCAACCCATGGCGATGGCTCTCCCACAGTTTTCCCAAAATTGCTTACCAGGCCCTGGCCAGAATGCAGAGAGATCCTTTACCTGCCCTCCCCCCCGTCCAATACAACACTGGGTCCTCCCACCGTTCCCACAGTGTCTGACATCCGCGTCATCAGAAACATGGATTTCCAAAGAACCGTTTTCCTCTCCCTCCCCACGATTCATGATCGTTGTGGCGTCGGGCTAACCGTGCGCCTCCCGAAGCAAACCCAAGCAGATGGAGGGACCCATATCGTAGTCAGCGCAACCATACTTTCGCATCTGGACAATGCCGAATTGTCAATGCAACCTGCCATGTGAGAAACTACCCAACGTTCGTTTCAGGGTCTCCCACCATTCCATCCCGGCGCGTTTGCCCCGTGGAGGGGACCAAGAGAAAGTTGGCACCCTTGTTCTTACCTGGGTTCTCAATCTCCACCCGACATCCTGGTCCCAGTCCCATTCTCATGAACCAACTTTTTCCTCTCTCGTTCGTGAGATGCTTGCTGAGAAAGATCTTGGCTTCGGGTCAGTATACGAGGACTGCCAAGAGGTTGTGCAAATAGTCTCAGGTAATACTCATATTGATAGAGCCCGGAGTCTACTTTCATCGGAACTTTCCGTAGTCTATAGCAAGAGGCTGAATGTTTGCTTCAAGTGTATGGTTTTGATAGGGAGGTCTACAATTACACTGAGTTATTAGTTACACGGAGCCGGGTCTTACTTCAATTTGAGGCATCACAGGCCACAATGAAACTTCACTACGTGTCACATAGCACAGGGAAGATAAATTGATCATAATACTTTTTTTAACTGGTTCTTGGTTCTATATTCCACTCTACTCTCCAGGAGGCACTAGTCAGTACGGGCGTGATCAACATGAATCCTCCAATCCAAGCCCATCACTCATCCCTTTTTGACCAAAGCCCGCTCTATTTCAAGTCCAAAAATTGTAATCCTGACCAAAAGAACATTCGTGCAGACTTTTTTGCTCACACATTAGATGACAAAGGAAAATGTGGTTATCGGGTTATCGTTAGAAGGAAGATAGGGGGTCGTTAAATGGTCGTGTTCTCTAGTTGGGTGATGATAAGGTGCGTTTTTAGATTGCTTTACAGCTCGTCCTCATCACTGAACACCTCCTCACCACGCTTGCGGCGGGCCATACGCTCTGTAAAGAATTGTTAGCATTTGCATTCCAGACGGAGAGACATGACAGGCTTGTTGACTTACCCTTCTTCTTCTTACGGGCCTCAGAAGAGGACAGCTTGGCCTTCTTCTTGGTGGTAACAATCTTGTTACCCATGGCATCGAACTTCTCCTCCTCGTCATCACCGTCCTGCTTGAGACGGGGACCGGAACCCTGGCCGGACACCCAGTTGTGTCCGGAAGGAGTCATCTTACCGTCCATGACGGCCCAGACTTCCTCAGTAAGATCCTTAGTGAACTCAGCGGAGTGAGTGATGATGATGACACCACCCTCGAACTTCTTCAGGGCCTTGGACAGGGCACCGAGGGAGTCACGGTCCAGATAGTTGGTAGGCTCGTCAAGGACGATCAAGTGAGGTCGCTGCCACGAGCAGGCGGCAAGGACAGTCTTGACACGCTGGCCACCAGACAGACCACGCATGCGGGAGTGAGAGACGAGCTCAGCGTCCAGACCGAAGTTGGCGCAGTGAGACTCAATCTCCTTACGGACCAGAGGACGGAACTGACCGGAGGCAAGGGCCTCCTTCATATCGACATCGGCGACCATCTTCTGGTGAGAGGCGAGCAGCTCGTTACGAGGCAGCCAGACGTTGTCAGCAGACATCATGGGGGTCCAGCGCTCGTTCTTCATGCCAATGTTGTCACCAATGGCGAAAGAACACTCGTACTCGTAAGAGTTCTTGAACTTTCTACGGGCGTTGATGCCAATGACACGACGGGAGGTACCCTCGATCTTGAAAACCTTGTCCATGGCCTTCTCATCGGCCTCGGTGATGATCTTGTTGGCACGGTCCATGGTCTCACGGTCCTCACCGGTCTGGAAACGCCACTGGATGTACTCGGAGGGGGTGCTGTCCAAGTGATTGTCAATGTGGGCGAAAGCGTGCTGCTTGATGTAGGCGATACGGATGTTCTCGTGCTGGTAGATCTCACCCTGAGTAGGGATGAGCTCACCGGTAAGAACGTTGATCAGAGTACTCTTACCGGCACCGTTGGGACCAATGACGGCAATACGGGAACCGAGAGAGCACTGGAAGGTGATGTCGGAGATCTGGGGCTTGGAGGTACCGGGGTACTGGAAGGACATCTTGGTGGCACGGAGAATGGCCTTGGCCTTGGTCTTGACACCCTCGAGGAAACCGGGCTCAGGGAAGGAGAACTCGATCTCGGAGGCACCGAGCTCGTAGTAGGATCGAGCGGAAGGAACACGCTTGACGAACTCAGCCAGGTTACCCTTGTAACGCTTGAGCTTGAAGCGCTCGTAGTGGACGATGTGCTGGCAGACGTTGTCGAGGAAGCTGGAGTCGTGGGAGACGATGATGGAGGTGCAAGGGGAGTTGATGAGGTAGTCCTCGAGCCACTTGACGTTCTTCACGTCCAAATGGTTGGTAGGCTCGTCCAGAAGCAGGATATCAGGAGCCTCGAAGACGGCACGGCACAGAGCAAGCTTCATCTTCCAACCACCGGAAAGAGCGGAAATCTCGCCAGTAATCATCTGCTCGGTGAAACCGAAGTCGTTAAGCTGCTTGACGACGTCGTCCTTGGTGGTGGTGACACCAGCCTCCTCGAGCTTCTTCATGGTCCACTCAATGGTGGTCATCTCGGTATCAGCAGAGTCCAGGTCGTGCTCGACGAAGACAGTCTTGACTTCGCTCTGCTTGGGGAAACCCTCGACCTGCTCGTTGTTGATGGCACGCATCAGAGTAGACTTGCCGGAACCGTTGGGACCGCAAAGACCGTAGCGCTGGCCACGCTTGAGACGGAGGTGGGTCTGGTTCAGCAGGATCTTGGCACCGTAGGCAAGGGAGAAGGTGCAGTTGCACAGATCCTCACCCTCCTCCTCATCGGGCTCAACCTCATCCTCGGCCTGAGCGCCGGGGGAAGCTTTCTTGCGGAGAGTCTCGATGACGCTCTCAGAGTTGTCGATGCCAGTGATGACAGCGACATAAGGCTTGAGGGTGTCGACCCAGACAACGGGCTCCTTCTCCTTCTCGTCGACGATCTGACCAGCAATGGCAGCAATGTACTCGGCAACGGGGCCCATCTTCTCGAGGTAGTTGGCGTACTTGGGAGCAAGGATCTCCTTGAGCTTGGCAAGGACGACCTTCTGGTCACCGTCGTTGCGGGCCTCAGGGATGACACCATCCTTGATGTTACCGACACGGGTGAGGGTGTCGAGAGCCTGCTTGGTCTTCTCACGGGCCTCGGGGTCAGCCAGGTTTTCGTAGTTCTTGGTAAGACCTGGCATCATCTTGGGCAAGAAAGGAGCGACAATGTTGGGGTCGTCGACCAGCTTGCACATGTTGTCAACAATGACAGCAGCCTTTCGCTTGATGGCGGTCTCACGCTCAGCAAGACCACGATCCAGAAGAGGAACCATGAGGGCAAGAGTGGGCTCCTGGACCTCGGTAACGAAGGTGGTGGCACCGAGCAGATGGACGGTCTCGGGGACGTTCTCGGGCTTAGCAATACACTTGATAAGCTCGGGAATGAAACGCTCAATATCCCTGTTGACGATGAGCTGGCAGAGCGACTCCATGGTCTTGTAGGCACGCTCCTTGACCTCCTTCTTGGTATCCCACATAGCCTCGGAAATGACGGGGATCAGTTCAGGGACACGGGCAGCGAGCTGAGCAGGGGCGGACTTGACGAGGGCATCGATGAAGTCAAGAGCAGCCATCTTCTCAGGCCACTTCTGGGCATTGCGGAGAGACTCCATAATGTGAGGGAGGGCAGCCTTGGAGGCGTTGCCGTTGATGGCGCCAGCAATGGCGAGGACGGCAGCCTGGCCGGCATTCTTCACGGCAGTGATCTTGTCGCCAACAGCGGCAAGGGCAGCGGGAAGAAGGACAACGAGGTAGGGCTCGACAGAAGCAGAGACCTCGGCGTGGGAGGCGATCTGCTCAATGGCGATGGCAGCCTTCTCACGGGCGAGAGCATCCTTCTTGTTGGCGAGGGACTTCTGGAGGCTTGCAACGAAACTAGAATACCCACTCTGTCAGTACTAATGTTACCCCTCCAAAAAAAAAAAATTTGCGGGTGCTAATCTGGCATATGGTGAGGGGCTGATATCGACAGGGGAAAGCAGCGCCGCGGCGCAATGGCAATTCAAACCCAACATTGCTAGAAATTGCAGGGATTGCATCCATATAGCCAAGACTTGAAAAGGGCAGATAGAAGAGAAAATTCCAAGGGCCCTAGAGATGATCGAAATGGTGGAAAAACTTACGTGCTGGGGACGGCCTGGTCCTCAATACGACCGTTGATGAAAGAAGCAATCTCGGTAGAGGCCTCCTTGATGTCGGAAGCCTCCTTGGAGACGTTGAGCTTCTGGAAGAGCTCCTCAAGGACCTTGACGGAACCAGCGTTCTCGGAAGGCATCTTGTCGGTTTTTTATTTTGTTCGGTATACGGTTCGACCGGGAGATTAAGAGAATAAGAATGAGATCCTAGAACGAATAAACGTCTAAAGGATCAGGTGAAGCCCACAGAGACGATGGAGGAGTCGACTCTGTTCTATCGTGGCCTTTTTGGTGGAGGTGGAGGGGTTGTTTCTGGGAAGTGAATCCGAGAACAACGACCAGGAAGAAAGAAGAGAATGAGACACTTTCGAATCCCACGAGAAGGTTCGCCTGGAGGATGACGACCAAGTCGATGATTGATTAGGATGGGAAAGGGGGAGGGAGGATGGAGGTGGAAAAGAGAAAAAAAGTGCCTGGGTGGAGGGCTACGGGCAGATAAGTTTTATGTGCCTCGCCTCCCACCACAACTTTTTTTTTCGCTCCCCTCCCACAGTGGCCAACCAGGGTGCCACCCACCACCAAAGGGCCGTGGTCCGCACTTTTCTTACGGGCAGTGCCCCTCCATTGGCGGCTATCTTCTCAGGCTTATCGTCTTATCAGCACGCGCTAGGCCCAACGGGGGCGATGGCAAAAGCGGTGAGGCCGGTTCATGCAGGGCGGAAGCCAGATGCCTCTGGCAACAGCGCAGATTTTTTCTCCTGGGCTCCATCCAGCGGCCACCAGAAACACTGGCCCAGCCTGCTTTGTGCCGGATTCTGGCGGGTTGGCCCAAGCAACTAAGCTAGCTGGCTCTACGGAGGTGAGCCTTGCCCCTCCAAGCTGATCTATGATCCATCGTCCCTCATCGAGCTCCTGCTGTAGTCAGCATGTGAGAGAGGGCGGGAGACAGCCTCTGACGACTGATCTGTCACCTAATATTTTTACCTTCAGCCCCAAAAGCAAGGTTTGTGCTGCCTTTGCCCAGGGTCCTTTAGATGGAGCCCGGGATATCGAGGTTGGTCGGGCATCACCATGCCGCTGGGCGACTGGCCTGCAGGATGCGTGGATGGGGCAGCAGAGGTTACATCCTGCACCGCATCCCTACCTCCATCAATCTAGCATCTTCTCTTCCATCTGGCAAATCTCTTTCGGCATTGTTCACGCTGGCCCAGCAACGGTTGCGAGCTTGCCTCTCAGTAAAATGAGGTCCATCTACCCCTCCAACAACCAACCTCAGGTGGGGTTGGGCCACAGTTGGGAGTGGATTTGCCGCACTGCAGCAGCACCAGCAGCCTACCAGCTCGGTAGCATTGGATTTGCTTAGCAAAAGCTGAAACCAATCCAGCCCGCCGTCTAAGCAATTATACCTCCAGCCACGTTGTCAGCACACTCGCCTGTGAGTGGCCCATATCCCAGCCAAGCCGACCGAATAGCAGCACAGAGAGCAGCACATGCAGCCAGCGCCGTGTCCAGTGGCAGCACACAAGCAGACATATTCTGCTCTCATCATGGCAGCAATATCATCATATCTAAATCCCGCCCTCGCTCGGCCCTCGAATGCATTTCGCGATATCTGCTTTGTCGCATCAGACAGGCCTTCCCCGCTATAGCTTTGCTCAGCATCCCCCTGCTTCCAGCTTCGCGGGGCCCCAGAATCGACCGCCTCAGGCAGGGGCTCACCGACATCTAAGTATTTTCCCATGACTTGCATCACCTTGGCCCTTCTTCATGTGCACCACGGCCGAAAAGAGGAGGGCCAACATATGTAAGAGTGATAACCGGGGAACTAGACTGTAATTGTAAAGTGAGCACATGCCACACTCAGAGAATGTGGCCCCCCAAGTCCCTCCGTAAGCAATATTCTTTGTCACTTGGCATGCAGTCTTTGCTATGACCAAGTAGGGAAGGAATTGCGGCTACATGCCTCCCTCAAGGATCGGTTGTAACAAAGACTCTAATGAACGAGCCACTTCAGACACTTAGACTTACTACAAGATCACTTTTCTCTGTAGATGTCAATGAATAATCACGAAATAAGATGTCCGAGTCATCTTATTTCCTCTTCATGGGCTATAGACATTATACATACACAATGTCGTCGTAAGATGTAGCCCTAGATGACATCAGCTCCCAGTACCCCTCCACTTACATTGTTGAAACTAAATTTTAATTAATTGCTTCAAGAACTAGGCTTTGCAGACTTAGGGAGTGTATAATTGATTTGCGACCTAGGGTAGGCAGAAATTATCAGCGCCGGGCAAACAAGGTTTCGAGACCATGCTACAACACTCTTCTTACTTTCACAATCAAACACTAAGGAACCCAGAGGACCAGCGCCCTATCAGAAATAAGGTACCTATCATGGGCATCTCAGGTTATCATTTATATTGTCTTGCCATTTGTCAAGTCTCGCCAACGCCGGCTGTGGTTGAGTGTGCATCGACAACCTGAATAGCAGCCCGTCAGGTGGCACTTAAGCATTAAGCTGTTCACTTTTGAATTTGCGAACAACATTGTCAAATTATCGAGTGCTAATAAAGCATATTGAGGAGGCGATAGCACACCTAGATTGTTACTTGATTTCATCTTACATCGCTGAGCTTTTTCTATTCCTCGTCGGAAGTCGTCTATTCCATTGGATGTCTCAGGTCTCCTGTCCACTACTTTATATTAGCCAATTCCGTCTTCCCTTTAATCTAGCTACATTACTTCAGGGATACGAGAATATTAACGATTTGAACCCATCTCAAAAGACATGTTTTTGCCACCTACTGTCATTGGCCTACTGTGGGCGTAGCCTTCAAACTTCCCGCCTCGCCCTCCACGTTTTGACTCACAATGAGGTGCCCATGTCTCGGGCAACTTATAAGCACCAAACAGAAAAAGTCATAAAAGCCACATTCTTCCGCTGTTCCAAAAGTCTTCCGTTCATCAGGCGACGAAGTGAATCACAGAATCCATCATGACATTCCTGCCTTCGAATCCCCCATCCCTTCAACTTCGTCTACCCATCCTCGTTATATCTCGTCCTCGTTAATCCCCCTCATATCCAAGATACCATCAAGAATCCCCCACCTGCCTGGAATCCATCGATACTGAAAAAATGGCCAAATCTCTCATCGCCAGCCTTCTGCTGGCCTCCCTCGCTCGCGCCTCGGGCCCAGCCGCACTCGGGGAGCAACCAGAGAAGAAAGGCCAAGATGAGAAGTTAAAGCCATCTCAGTGCCAGAGCGTCCTGCCCATCCTACCGAAATTCACCTTTGGGCCTACCAGAACAATATTCACGACCACCACTACCCACACGAGCACCGTCGACTGTGGCTTCTGCGAAGACGTCGTCCCGGTGATGATGCCGCTTGGTATCCCCCCTGTTGTGCTCTTCAACGCAACCACGACTGCCAGCATCCCATATGTCACAACCGAATATGAGTGCGGCTCGGTCCCCGCTCCGTCAACGATGCTGAAAACTTCGGTACACCACCCCAAGAACCGCCGCGGTGCACCAGCTCCCACCATCACTTCCAAGGCCTCCCTAGATGAAGAGGTGAAGCCCATCTCATACTTCGAGCCGGACTACACAGAGCCCGAGGGCCCTACCACCGTCACCCCGCCCGGCATCGACAAGCCAGAGTGCACCTCCGCGACGGCGCTCGATGCCGTGATTGCCAACTCCACCTAGACCTTCTACCCTTCCACCGTGACGTCCACGAGCACGGTGGGCTGCGGCGAGTGTGCGCTCGAGTGGTCCACTGGGGTCATATACTACTTTGCTCCTATTCGGTACACGGCCACTACCACGGCCACGACTCCCAGCGTGAAGGTTGATCTTGCCTGTTCGGCCGTTCCGACGAAGGACTAGTTTGGGAAGAGCAGATTTTACATCCGCAACTAAGACGGGGCTAAATGGTGTTTGTGGGCAGAAATGTTGGCGTCTGTATCAACTGCAGGTTCATAAGATAGATGTGATCAAGGTAGTCAGTGTCTCGAACCGTTAAGGTCTGGATGGCCGTTGTTTCCATAACCCCCATAGTTCATTAGGACACCATAATACAGTCAACCACGTCTACTAGAAAAAATGCAATTAACTTCCATCATCTCCATTCTCATGACCCTCATCAGGCCAATTCTCCGGAGGCGTAGCGGCCTTGGCGAGCAGGTTCCGAGTCACATCAACCCTATAAATGCTCGGTCCAACGTCGTCCTCGGTCCGCCGGTGCGCCTCAACCCACGTCCGTATGTGGCCCCTGATCTCCTTGTTACTCGTAATAGTCGTAATACCCTCCGCCCATCCGTGCATGTAAATGGATAGCTTGGAGCTCTTGAACCCGCCGCAGCGGGCAACGTCGAGCGCCACCTCGGGAAGTCTGCCTTCTTTCACGGCAGCTTGGAAATCGGTGGGGTCAGGTAGGATGGTGACTGGAATTTGCAGATCGGCAGGAGGTGGGCGGACGGAAAGGGAGGAGAACTTGGCGTGGATGTCAGAGGGTGACAGGGCGAGTGTCTCGGGATCCCTGGGTACGAGGAGGTGCCCGCGCTGTCTTTCAGTGTTTGTACCGACGGTGCTCAGAACTTCATGGAAGTGCTCGGCTGCTTCCTTGGTACAGATGAGTTTGCGACCTCGCAGCAATGGATACAGAGTGGGCGCCATAAGCCCATCTGGATGCCGATTCTCTTCCTTGATCTGGGCCTGAGTTGTCGATGCTTGCCAGGGCTGGGGCTCAAGATTATAATGAGTGATGTCGGAGATGAGATCTATGAGGATGGTGTGGTCCATGTTGAGAACCGGTGTCAGACCGGCAAGTTCATCTCCCGCGAGATTCTCAATGGCAGTCTCGAGCTGAGGAGGCTCACTGGTGAGAAAATCGCTCTGGCTATCATTGATGATGACTTCAACCTGAGAATCGATGTTGCGAAGTTGGTCTATAAACACCGCGACATCATTGTTGGCATCAGTCTGTATTCTAGGGAGCACAACCCTGACTCTGGGAATCCGATACTCATGCCTGTTCCGCTTTGCTGCCTCGACAAGCCGCTTAATCTGCTTGGCAAGGGGCACCTCACCCCAGTCCTCTTCATCCAGAACATCTCCAAGTTCATGGTCTCCCCATCCCCAACCGGAGTCTGTCATTTGACGGGCCAGACGGTCCAGGCTGATTGATTTGATATCGATCCACTCTGATCCTCGTTCGACAACGTCTACCTCAACACGGCTCTGCTCTTTGAGTGTGCGGTGAAGGAGTTGTTTCTCCCGGCCTGAGATGGATTCTTGAGAAGACACTACCTCTCGCCGCGACTCCTTGGTAGATGAAAGGAAAGTCTGGTTCAACGCCTGGAAGGAATGACATCGTTTGAGGATGGACCATTTGAGATGCGCATGCTTGACATCAATCACATTGGCCTGTATCTTATTGGCTATCGCTTTCAACTGAGTCTCAGGAAGTTCAGTTGCGCTGCCGAGTTCATCATCCACAAGCCGTTGCAGAGACCTCTGGTCTTTCTGAAGGCCCCGTACCCAAGTAATCAGACCTGCAAGTGTTGAGGGCCTGTGCGTTTTCTCGAGCCGTGAAGCCAGGAGATTGATCTCGGGGATCAAAGAATTGCCCAGCTCGAGGCATTCTCGAGCCGCCTCAACGGTTCGAGCATGCAAAGGCAGCACATCGCCAGTCTCGGTGGGCTGATCCGAACTGGCCATTTTCCGGCAACACTAGCTGCCGCCGGGAATTTCTAGTAGTTCTCTTCTTGTTGTATATTCTCCCGAAATAACATCAAACCCAGCTTAAACTCTTACTTGAACTCATGACCGAGCTGGAACTAGAACTTGAACTCGAGAGTAATCTGTGACTCAGCGTCATTGCCGTGATAAGCCAGCTACCTGGCAAGATCGAGCGAGTAGTCAAGCAAGGGCCTCTAGACTCAGGATATCCGTAGCTTCCTACGATGTCTCTTCTAGAAGAGTGGTTGGGTTTATTCACGAGTTGTGAAATAGTGATTCTAGCCAACAGCGCACTTGTGATCGATTTGTGCGATTTGGTGGTTATGCTCGGGAAAGAGTTTGTCCGGTACCTTGACTGCCTAACATTTACACCTTTCAGAAAGCATGGAAGTCAGCCCACGTCCTGACCAAAAAATTACTATCCACACCAAGATTACAAAATCTAATACCCAGAATATTATGATAGATTGAAGCAGCCGTAAAAAATGCGACGGATGACCACCGAATCCCATCGAACATCCCAAGCTGACATCGGACGCCTATGTTAGACTCCGCCCTCGGCCTCGGAACCTCCCAAGTGCCTCTTCAGGGTAAGACAAGAAAAACGCGCATTCTGGTGCCTAAGGGCATTCTTTTGCTCGTCGGCGTGGCTTCCAGTGGAGTAGCTTTGCCTAGTTTGCTCAAACTTGAAACATGCTAAGAAAAATAGCAGTTGGGCGAACCAACAAGTTTTGCCATGTGTCACGGGCAGCTTTTAGTGCCATACCAGCCTAATGGTTCGGTTGCACGTACCGACGATTGGCCCCCGTGGGAGCGACCCGACCAACACAACCAACAGCACTCTTGGCATCCTCTGTTGCGACGTCGTGAAGCTTGAGGAATCGATCCGCACTGTGAGGACGGTCGCACGCTAGATATGCATGTGTGTCGACGGTTTTTTTCGCGATTTTTTTTTTCAGTTGGTGTATCCGCTGGTTGAAGATCTCCAGTCTAGTTTCCTCGGAGTCTCCCGGTCTCCATGCGGTGGGTGGATTTGGACACCAAGAGAGGCCGAGTAGACTTTGAAAATGTAAAGATATACATGAAAAGTCTGCGTGAAGAATCTGTTCTTGTTGTACTTGCAAGCTTTTCGAGCGGAATACTCCGCATGTTGCTGTCACGATCCATCATCCCATGGGATCCATAACACCATGGGAGGAGAACAATCCGCTGTCAAGTTGAAAACTAGCTTGAACGTTCACGCCACACAGGTCTCCCAGGACAATGCACCAGTGACCGTTTGAGCCGGCTGTCAACCGGAATTGAGTATGCTTCTGGTGCACCGGACCCAAACCTTGTCCATTGTTTCGTCAACCAGAGTCACGCGGCAATTCGGACTCTTCAGTTCCATCGTTCAACCCGATATTGTCGTGGACAGATGCATCGGGCAACGTAGTTGTGTAACTGACGTAGCTGTAGGAGGAACTTTTTGCACATTTAGTTAAGTATTCACATGAATTAGGACGAAAAAGTGGTAGAGCAATGTAAATCATATTAAATCCAATATAGATGCCATCCAACTAAATATGCGAATTGTTTATATATATCAGGCCATAGCCGAACACGCCTCCTTTTCTGGACAGGCACTCTGCAGTCCAGAAGAAATAAAAAAAGAACATTTGGGTAACACAGTGAGACTCAACGAACTTAAGCACGGGTCTGGCGCCAGTTCTTGCCATCGGCTTCAGTAACGTTGGGGCAGTCAGCCAGAGTGCCAGTGGTTCCCCACTTAGCATGCAGACGGATAGAATCACCGCCCTTCTGCGAGTTGGCAATGTTGAAGCCCCAACCATCAGCGGCATTGGTGCCCTTGGGGAAAGCGTTGCAGCCGTCACCGTTGGGGTAGATGATCGACTTCTTCTCGTGACCCGAGACAAGTGTTGGGTTCTCAGTAGTGAGGGTCAATCCCTGGATGGGGTTGCCGTTATCCTCAGGAACCAGAGAAGAGGCATCGGCACCGGAGAAGCCACCGTTCAATTCGCTGCCGTACTCCAATTCCAGCCACACACCAGAGATCTGACCAAGAGCAGTAAGAGGGAGGGAACCGACGCCGCAAGAGCAGCCACCAATAGTGCCAGCCTGGACAGCCAGATACTTCTTGGCACCAGGGGCGAGCTCAAAGTCAAGAACTTGGTTACCCTTCCAGAATCCTGTGAAGGCCTTACCATCGGGCCCGCTCTTCAGGAAGCAGGCGCAAACCTGCTTCTCACTGGCGGCGTTCTCGAGAACAGAGATGTACTGATAGTTCTTGGCGGCGCTCTCCTCAACAAACTTGAGGTTGCAACCATAGGTGGTACCAGTGTTGCCAGAGAAGGCATTCTGTTCAGCGGTGCCGCGCTTGCTGGTTCCGGTGCAGAAATCATCCGTCCAGGGGGCACTGCCGCCAATAGTACCACTGCTGCTGCTGGCAGTGGTCGTGGCGGCGGCCTTGGAGGAGGTGGTGGTAGCGGGAACGGCAACGGAAGCAGAGCTTGAGCTGGTTGGTACGTTGTTGAGAGCGTTCACAGCCGGAACAGTAACAGTCTGGAAGACAGTAGAGGTGGGCTTCACGTTCTTGACAAACTGGTCGCGGACTTCGAGGTTGGTATCGCGGTGAATATGGTTGTGGACAGCGCCATGAGGATGGGCAGACACGCCGAGGGCGGCGGCCAGGAGGACGGTAGAGGCGGAGAACTTCATAGTGGCACCAGTCGATCAGTTGTTGAACTTGTGTTTTTGTGTAATAAGACAGGGGATATCCGAAATCGTAGTGTAAAGAGCGTGTTGCAACGTCTAGCGTATGCTGATCAAGGAGTGTAAGGACTATCCCAAGGTGAATTGGCAAGTTGAAGGAATGGAAATGATGAGCAGGCAGCCGACTGATAAAGAGATCGAGCGAGAGAGCCAAGGGGGAAGGGAATAAAATGAAAACAGGGGAGGCATGTTAGTATGCATCTCGCTACACCAATCGGGCAAGAGAATGGCTGGGGGTACGAGTAATGCTTCTTGGCCCACCCACCACGGCTCAGACACAGTCGTACTAGTAATACATGACTACCTCTCCATACCTGGCTCTACATGTGGTGTAGGCGGACTGGAGAGTCGTGTCGTGTATCCATGGCAGGGGCAGGGATGGGCCTGGTCCCGGATGGAAGCATAAGAGGGTCGTAAAATTGGGGACAAATCCAGGGGCACTAGACCAGCAGCTGGACGGATCGACCAGGAACATGCGTGGCCTCATTGGCTTGAGGCCTCTAGCAAATGGGGCCATGCCATGTTTTCCCAACGTAGTGGTTGCCACAAAATCCACGGTTGCTGACTAGTCCGTTCAAAGTAAGAGTAGGGATGGATCTCCTCCTGACTGTGCCTGAGAATCATCCCCTACTAATAGCTTCAAAGGCCTGTCACCGACCCGCTGTAGGCCGGCTGGAAAAGCAAAGTAGTGATCTTTCACTGTGTGAGGAACGGGAGGCAATGTGTATTTGACACCGTTTCCACGCAATTCCTTCGGGCTTGCGTACACACTGGCCAACCATAGTTCGCCACGATGATGTTGGAGAGCGAGAGAAAAACCTCTCATTCGGAAGAAAATTCTATAGGTGGTGAGGGTCGCTTCTAAGTAGGTGAAACGCGCGACCATCTTGAGAGAGAAAAAAGCCCTCGTGATGGGTGCTATCCTCGAAAAATCCCCCGCCTGTCCATTCTGGCTGAGGAGGAGCTGGTGGTGATGGCAATGGGGCATCGTCTGGAATGGTGTGTAATAATAACAACAACACCAGTGCATGCCCCAGGAAATTGGCCCTCATTGGGTCTGTTGGTTTGCACATTGATCGAGAATCTGCCGATGTGAGGAACCCTGCAATTCCTGGAGCGGCCATGTTACATGCACAGGGGTCCTCCTGCCAAGTGCCAAGGCAGCCTGAACCAGAGACAGACGGTCGCCTGGTGGTCTGTGTGCGTGTGTGTCAACCTGCTATTCGATGTGGGAAGGTGGCTGCATAACTGCTGGTGGTTGCGTAGCTCATCACATGTACGTACCTCAAAAGGGACACAAAGGAGAATTACGGCACGTCCCACGTCAGCTCGGCGGACGGATTCTCGAAGCCCACTCCGCCAGAACAATCAGTTTTGCACGACAAAAATAGCATTTTTGAGGGAGAGAACACCGAGTCAACGAGCTAGACTGCATGTGATTTCTACGCGTATGTCAGTATGGGCAAGTCCTTCTGGAATTGTGCCTACATACACAGATTGTACCATCGAGGCCTGGCCATAGATTTGCTTCTTCGCCAATGTCTCGCCCCCAAGCAACCCCTTTCAGTCCCACCATAATTGGCCCTTGCACACCCAGCTCCTCAAATTACAGAGTACGAGGCAGCTCCTCAGCATCCCATGGAGCTAGGCACGTTCCGCGAAAAGCCAGCACAGGACTACTGGCTTCAGGTGGTTCCACGATTCGGTAGACCCGACCTTACGCTGACGATCATTGCGGCTTGCAAAGCTTGTTTTCCCTCCTCAAATCTCTTCCAAGTTCCCAGCTTCGTCGACCCATGTCCCTTTGTTCCCGAAGGCGGTGTGTATCGATATCTTCATTGCTGCCACTAAGTCTCCTATTCATGGCGCTTCTCGGCGTAGTCTGCTTAGTCCGTATGAGCGTAGAATGGCTGGCAAAGCGTCGACCAATCGCTTAGAAATAGCTTCTCATCGCGTCTTCAAACCCTGTTCCGCCTTTTAGATCTCTACCAAACTTGGCATGGACTTCAAGCACCTGGTTAATATGCTTCATGCTGAGTGCTTCGCCGCGGTTCGCAGCCAAGTCCTGAGCTGAGCCCACGACATTCTTGATTTCTCGGCCGTTCAGGTCGTGTTTTGCCAGTGTGTTGAGTTCATGATCCTCGAGAGGCTTCATGGCAAACCGCCCATGTTCTTGAACACGATCAATGAACAACTTGAAAACAGCCTTCTTTGCTTTCACATCAAGCTTTTCATATCGAAGAGCAATGTGGATTCGGGATTGAAAGGCCTCATCAAATGTCTGAGACAATGTTAGCATCATACCAAAGGTCATGCCAGGTGGTACTTACCTCAACTCGATTAGTTGTCAGGAAAAGAATACCTTGGAAGTACTCGAGTTGACGTAGAAAGATGCTCACAAGAGCGTTGCGGTGAATATCCTGCATGTTCCGTTTTTCCAAGAAGACATCAGCTTCATCAAGGAGCAAAATTGCACCCCATGTGTGACAAATATCCAGGATTTTCTGCAATTCATGCTCGAGGAACCTGGAGTCAGTCCCTAGCTCCCCTGCTGAGGCCATGTACAAAGGGCACTTCAAAAGCTCGCTGATACCCTCAGCAGCTGTTGGATCCCGTTAGTGGAAGCTTTTCTATGCATGGTAAGATGAGGAACCCTTACTTAATGTTTTCCCGACACCAGGTGGACCGTGAAGTACAGCTAGAAAATATTGTCAGAACACCGACCAGTTCTCTCAAACATGGAAACGAACGCAGAAGAGGATCGGGAAATTCCAACTTCCAATGGGATACGTACTGACGAGACCTTTCCCTTTTCCCTGAATAACATCATCAATCTTCGTTGCCGCGTTGAACTTGCGCGACTCCACGAGGGCTCGGATTAGATCCTTCGTCTCCGGATCTAGGACGAGTGAGTCCCACGCTTGGTCGTTCCACTGTATATCCCGAACGTCTGCAACTGAGAATTCGAGCCATTGCTTCTCGGCAAAAGAGAAGCCCAAAACCAGTGGAGAGGCAATGAGATACTCTTCATCCGTAAACGTAGGGTTGGGTGTCTCTGCCTGGTCTTTACTTTTCTCATCCTCAACATTATTGGGGGTATCACTTGAGGATTTGTCCTCGATGTGGCTTGTTGAGCCTTTCTCCGCTGGCTCACTTGTAGCGCTGTTCTCATGATTCTTGTCCTTGGAATCGTCGCTCTTGGCGGGTATATCCTCTAGATTTTGTTCCCTTCTCTTCCCTGCAAGCGAAGCTTTGTCCATCCTGACCATATGAATGTCTCCATTTTTGTCTTTAACCACCTTGGTAATATGTCTGATTTGGCTGTCGCCGTTCTCGGAAGAATCACCGTCGTTACACCCATGACCCTCGTCATCATCTTCCTCCGAGGCGCCAGAGCTGATAATGTCGTGGTCCTGAGGTCGGACGTGAGACACATAGTAGTTGGGATTGATGCGCCGAAAGGTGGCTGGGTCGATCATGATGCGACTGTTCTGAATGTTGAAGCGGACAGTTCCCTTTTTGCGTTTCAGGTAGGCCATTCCATTGTACCCTCGATAGTGCATGCCACTGAGAATAACAAATTTTTTTCCACGCTCGACAAGCTCTTTCCGAATCGCGGCTTCATTGGCGCAGTATGCTAGGGGGTAGCATGGAAGAGATGTAATCTTCCGGGCTCCGGTGAACTCCAAGACGTCCTCGGATACGTTCCCCAGTCCAAACCGTTTTCCATCGTACTCAAAATATTTGCCGTCAATGAAGTAAAATTCGCCTTTTGTCAGGGAATTATGACGCTCAGATGCCTCAACTCTGAACACGCGAGGAATGTCACTGTTACCGTACGTCGGGCTGTAGGCAAGCGTGCCCGGTTTCCACAAAGCCCACAGGAGCTCAAATGTTATGAGCCCATTCTGAAGCATCGGAATCAAGCTGGCTTTCAAACTCGCATAGTCATGGTCAAGATACTTGATAAGGACCTTGAGGTGTTTCCGCTTGTCGTCAAGGCGTTTTTGATTCTTCTGGCGCACCTTCTTAGTGTCTCCAGCTGGCTCTAGATCCTTCAATGCCTTCAAATGTATGCGAAGCTCGTCAAGATACCTTCAATTTGTCAAAAAAAAAAAAAATTACCAAGGGGAAGTGTTGGGGAAGGACTGTCGTCATGATTTAAAATCTTGGCGATTTTCACTTACAGGAAAAGGAGATTCGGATCCAACTTCGGCGTCTCATCCACGAGACTTACACCTTGAATATTGCCGATAACATCATGTAAACACTCTCGCAGGAGTTTGGATTTGATGTCAACACAGGTCTTCCTGTACTTGCCTTCCACATCAAACATACGCCGAACATGAAAGACAAATTCATCATATTGAGCATCGGACGTAACTTCGGCGCTGTCTTGGAGCCTAAACTGGTAGGACGAGGTGTCCCAAACCCAATCGACCCTCTTGAACTCCGCGCGCATCAGCGTTTTCTTCTTCGTTTTCTCAGTACTGGCTACCGCGACTCTCTGGGTGTCGGAGCCGTTGGCGCCCAATAGTTTGCGCATGCGAGCCTGCCCCAAAAGAGTGTCTAAATCGACCCGTTTCTTTCCTCGATTGGATGCTTGGGAAGTGAGATCTGAGAGGTCTAGAGCAGATCTTGTGGGAAGCCCGTTCAGCAGCATAGGTGCACCAGGCATGGTGCCCATATAAGGATTTGATGAGGTATTGGTGGGATGCCCGAAGCCTCCGTGAAGGGAGGCTTGCTGGTCGGTAAGGAGCGCGATTTGGGTCTTCAGAGCAAGGAGTTCTTGCTTGAGATTGAATTCATCTGCCTTGTCACTTGGTCCTCCATCGCTTCCTTCATCAGATTCGGTGTCTGAGGATTCCGATGAATCTGAGTCCGAAGCTAGATACTTCTTCTTAGTAGACCTTTTCGCTTTTGACCGGGCTTTTTTGGGTCTGTCGCGAATCTTTTTACTTGACCTGGAGGACTTGGTGGACTTCATGCTTTTGGACTTAACTGAATCTTCTTCACCATCTTCAGAATCAGAACTAGAATCTTCATCAAGACTAAGGTCCTCATCCGATGACGATTCATCAGAGTCTTCTTTGGTGCCACTTAGTCCGTCCGGAGTGATTGCAACCTTCTTCTTAGGTGTTTTCTGAATTGTACTGTTTTGTTTGCTTCGGCCATCGCATGAATTCATATTCTTTGAGGTGCCTTTCTTAGCAGCATGGGCCACTTTGTTGGTTTCTGACAATCGGTGGCACAGGTCCTCTCCCTGCCGGGAGGGCTTTGCTTCGCTGTGATGCGTAGTTTGACCCTCTGCCTGATCCATCTTGGGCCTACCTACCTAGTATTACTACCGGGCATGGGAAGGATCGAGGCCAAGATAGTCACAGACGAGAAAAGAAGTTCGGGTTGTAAGTTGTAACTTGCCGCAGTGCCAGCTAGCATCTCCTTCTGCCTCTGGATTTTGACGATAACACCTAGAAGAGTGGTCGCAAATCCAAATGCTATTTATTTGATGAGTTCATTGAGAAACACGTGAAACGGGCATTAAATATTCACGAAACATACCTGGCAGAGATAGATGGACAGCACAGGGTAATAACGCTTCAAACTGTGAGTCAAGGTCTTGGGAGGTATGTGTAAAATTCGTCTGAGCTAGATGACCCAATTCAATGAGAAGCAGGGCAGAATAATAAGGCAAGGACGGCGAACTATCCTTCTAGGCTACCTCGCCCAGAGCAAATGTTGTTCGAAATTGGAGGGGGTGAAGAGCAGTACTTGGAGGTAACTTTTGATCAGGTGGCGAGAGCTGAAGATTTTTCAGGAAGAGTGTTTGGTGAAATGGAAAATTTGAGAAAAAGTGAGAAGGTGCGAGGAGGACGTACATTAGTAGGTAAGGCAGGAGGGAGGCAGGTGCAGGAAGGTGCAGGCAGGCGGCTAGCTGGTGGTGGCCTATTCGCTACTTCAGCCTCACTGCAGCCGCCCAGGCCTTTGGAACGACAACCTAAGTGACAGTTGGCGGACAGGCAGCAGCGTGCTTACCTCCACTAAGGCGGCTTGTCCCAAGACATGCAGGCTGGAGCGGCATCAAAGTCATTCTGAATGGTCGACTCATGTTCAGGTTGTTGGTTGGTGATTGCCATGCATGTTCGTACTAGTTGGGTCTGCGGGCTGGGGTGAGTGATACTGTGTGTACACAAGACCACATAGGTAGCCATCGAGATACCGCCATATTTCTATAGACGATCCAGCAATATGCTAGCCAATGATTTCAAAATTCCACACTTGTCTTTGCATAATAGCCAACCAACAATGATGCAAATACTTTTTGATCGGCGCTGCTTCGAAACCTGCAACCTGCACCATCACCCCCTGCAACAGATGTGGCCGGTCGGCTTTGACAGTGTTGCGGCCATATCCCTGTAATACATCCAGAATATATGCATTGGGATCGGCTGTCCTCATCCATTCAGCCAGTCCGCCCGCCTTGCAATTACCCGACGATGATATGGATGTTACACTGCAAGATGTGTGGGCGCTCCGTTGGCGGAATGTCGTGTCATCCGCACCAACTTGGGCCGACTGTGAGCCTGGCCGTAGTTCACAAGCTCCAGCAGCCTAAAGTTCGGTTACAGTGGAGTGGGAGGCCCGTCCCTGGTGGGGATGGGCCTGAAGAGGTGCTAACACGAGGATCTAAGCTGCTCAAAGTTTGCCCAGCACCTAATTGAGGATGTAAGTGGGTCCGTGCAAGCTGCAGGTGTGAGGGCAGGTGCAACCGGAGCCATCCTTTGTGTACCACCTCTTGGTCTCCAATTGGTACATCTCTTGAGCGACCTCGGGGCATCCATAAGCTGCATACCTACCTATATAGTTTCACAAAAATAAGGAGGACGAAAGTACCAGCTGAAAAATTGCGGGATTCGGAAGAGGACTCCCTCTCCCACCGATGCGGACTAGGTAACTACAACCCATGGACATCTTCTGCTACGGACATGAGAGCCAAATGGCCAAGTCCCTACGGCCGATAAAGCTGCAAGATCTGCGTTGCTCTGACACACAAGATAATGGGTGTACAAGAGGTCTTTTGTGAGTGGCACAACTGGTGACAAGATCAGGGAAACATGACTTCAGTACACGACATCTCTGTAGCTAGCTGCGTGGAAGTACAGACACCTCTCACACATAAGCACATAAGCACACACACCACCTAGGCATGCTCAACCTTGACGGTCTACGTGTCTCTGCATTAAAATTAAATCGAACTTCATGATTGGGTTGGCCACCTACATCTACGACGTTGTTTTTATGAAGATGACCGGCCTTGGCATCTCGCACAACGTGCTCCACAGCTTCCGATTTGGGAGGCCCCTTGATTACGGTACGAATATCATGACAACAGCACGTCTTGGAGGAGTACCGTCGGGATTTCCTCTAGTAGGGTCAAGGAAAGTTCATCAATGGCTAGACGAGTGGCGCGATTTTTCTAATGCAGAAATAATTCACGGAATAACAAGCCATGATAACAGTCCGTTTTGTCCTGGGTATTGACGGGGCTGAAACGCGTGAACGGTGGCTAACCCAAACCGTTACTTAACGACGTCATGGGGTGAGCTCTGGAGCTACAAAGCAAGAAGGCGCATCCGCATCCTTCAACCAATGACCCCTCTTTCGCAGCGCCTTTTGACTATACAATTGCTCTCGGATCTGGCGCGCTTTGTATCACCGAGTCTGCAGTCCTCTCAACCTGCATTTCCTTATTCTCGAATCGCGAATCCGTGCCAAGGCCACGCCCAATGGCCAATTTTGGAAGATGGACCGCGCTCGATCGTCTCCTCGGCTGGGATCGCCACCCTCAGGAAGGACACCGGAACACAAGCCGCCATCATTGGCTCCATGAAGAAGAAACCTGTAAGTCCTTATTCTATCGCGGCGCGAGTGTCCATCGTCGTCACTAGCATAGATTGACCTTCGACGTATGTTAACCTCTCCATAGTACTTGACGGTCACCGAAATGAGTCTATTGGAGTTCCAATTCCCCCTGTTGAGGTGACGAGGATTTGCCTTCGGCTGCGACATTTGATTCAAGAATGCATATCCTGCGAATTGGAAGAATCCAAAATTACAAGACCACATAGCCGAATTGTCACCAAAAAGGTGATCAAGGCTGCCAAAGAGGCCGGCGGAGATGAGTACAAATCTTGTGTTGTATGCCATATCCAAACCCTTAAGTTTCTTATGCCCTGACACGGAACACTTAGGTTTTCTGCCTGCTTGTGAACAAGCAATGGTTCACGCACGAATCCATCACCGAGTTGTGGGATGCCGACCTGCATAAATTACGGGCTACGGCTTGCGGCGTGATCGCCAAGGCAATGTAATAACCGCTGAACTCGAACTCCAAGTTCATTTTCTAATTTATTTATTTAGAATCGAGAACGAGGAGAACATGAGATATTTGCTCCATTCAGTCCTTCTGCAACGATACTCCTATCTCTCCGATCGCGAGCCGACGCACCCACTAAACGTGATTGAGAAAGCCGTCGACTTGCACGACGTTCGAGTCATCGGGTCTTCTGGATACCAAAAATGCATCAGCTACCTTTGGAGAGGATGGCTGGTGCAGGATGAAGATAACCCTTCGGTTTTCATTGACTACAAGGATAAGGCCAACCCGAATTTTTTCGTTCACATGGATCCCGATCGAATGCGAGCACCGATGTACCAGAACGCAGCACAGATGCTCTTGTCAATCATCTACCTTGGTCTCTATACTATGTCTATCAACTCGGTCAATGCCTCGGGAGTTTTTGATGCCGCCGAGATTCTGATGTATGTCTTTACAGTGGGCTTCATATGCGACGAGACCATGAAGTTGTACAAGGCAGGTTATCACATTCTTGGATTCTGGAATGCTCTCAACGGCCTCTTATACTCGTTTTTAACGGCATCCTTTGTGCTTCGTATCATAGGCCTTACACACCCTGAGCACTCGGATGCACGCAGGGAGTGGAGCCAACTGAGTTACAACGTACTCTCCTTTGTCGCGCCATTGTTTTGGTCCAGGCTCTTACTTTACCTCGACAGCTTCCGGTTCTTTGGGGCCATGCTCGTTGTACTTAAAGTTATGATGAAAGAGTCTGTGATATTCTTCGCCTTGCTTATCATCATCAACATAGGATTCTTGCAAGCTTTTATCGGACTTGATCTAGCCGACGACCTTGTTGCGGACGATGTTTGGTTCATACTCCAGGCGATGCTCAAAGCGATTTTACAAAGTCCAGAATTCGAGGGATTCGAACAGTTTGGACATCCCTTTGGCTTAATCTTGCATTACTGCTTTACATTTATTGTCATGGTAAGATGACATCTGATGTACCTTCAACCTATGCTCACAGAAAACTAATCACCTTTCCCCTTTATGTAGATTATTCTCCTGAACATCTTGATTGCGCTGTATAATTCAGCGTACGAAGACATATACGACAATGCTGACGACGAATATCTCGCCCTTCTCGCCCAAAAGACGATGCTATTCGTACGCGCCCCTGACGAGAATGTTTACATCGCGCCGTTCAATCTAATAGAAATCTTTGTATCTGGGCTTTTTGAGTGGTGGATGCCTAAGAAAACTTACGAAGCAATCAACGATGTCGTCATGGGGATCATCTACTCTCCTCTCCTACTTGTTGCTGCCTTCTTCGAGATTCGCAAAGCGGGGCAGATACGCCGTAATAGGGCGAGAGGCGAGGAAGATGACGACGTTGAAGAGGAGTGGGAGCAGATGGCTAATGAATTAGACTTTGAGTCAGAGGGCTGGGCCAAGACTTGCGAGGCTGTTAAGCCAAATGTTGAAGAAGAGCCTGCCATCGTTGAGGTCCGAAAGCTACGCGCAGAGCTTGACGCTTTGAAGTCTATGCTTTCTGAAGCTATCCATGCCGGACGTGTGCAACCCAAGCAGAGTGCTGATAATGATAATGCGGGCTCTGGCTCCAGAGATCCTAACTAGGAGGCGATGTGGGCAGAATACTTCCTGGTTAGTATGTATAGTTCATTGTGTTGAGCTGTCGGATCTGGCATTTTCCATTACTATTTTTACTTTGTGTTCGAACTCTCATCCGTGTATTGCTCAGCTTGTCTCTATGATAGAATATAATTGACCCCGACTTGAAGAGAAATTAAAAGAGGACGGAAAACAGTAGTTGTATTTGATAATCGCCAATGCAGGCATTAACTTAGGCCAGTTAAGGAAACAGAAACGAAAGTAGGAAAACTTGTAAACTTTGTTGGCCGTTGCTAATTTTGTTACAGCTCACTAATTCTAATGGGAATTGGCCTCTAGGACCGGGGTATCAGGGAAATATTTTCTAGTGTCAGGTCCGCGGTCAGTGAGGTTCATCCCAATTGTAGAAGGCAAGGGAGGGGGAAGAAGATACTTACGGGATGGCCTCCCGATACGCTGCCATGTCCTTCTCATCAAACGCAACAAACACAACCCTCGTCAAACTGCTTGCTTCCGCGGCTAGGAGCCTCCTGACGGTATCGCAAGCTACCTCGGCCGCATCCCGACTCGGGTAGCCATATACACCTGTGCTAATCCCACTAAAGCCAATCGTCTTGATACCCTCCCTGACTGCGAGGTTCAAACTCTCCTCGTAGCAGCTTCGCAGTAGCCTGGCGCTGTGCTTGGGATCCAGCACGTTGTATACGGGACCAACCGTGTGGATCACGTGCTTCGCAGGAAGGCGATACCCCTCTGTGATCTTGGCATGACCTGTGCGGCAGCCTTGGAGAGCTTCGCATTCTTCAAGGAGCTCCGGGCCTGCTGCTCTGTGAATAGCGCCGTCGACGCCGCCGCCGCCAAGAAGGGTTGTGTTTGCGGCATTGACAATGGCGTCCAGCGACAGTCTCGTGATGTCTCCTTTGGTGAGACCCACGCGATCATTTATGGAACGCGAAGCGGAGTAGCGACTAGCTGTTGCGGCGGCCTTGAGTTCTGACACCGCATAGAGCTGGGTGACAGTCAGAATGTCTGCTAGGGATTTAGTAGCCATCTTGGGCCGATGTGAGAAGATGAAGGTGTCGTCGAGAAGTGAGCTGTCCTCAAAAAGACTGCTGTTGTCGGAGAGCTCGTCGTCCTGAAGACGAAAAGGGCTAGCTCTGGAGGAATTGTGGAGTTCTTCTAGATCAGAAAATACGCCACTGTCTTCAAATCCGTCAGGGTCATATATGAAGCTTTTGGACGGCTGCTGTCTATGGCGATTGTGCTTCTGATGATTGTGTTGTTGTTGTTTGGTGTGGTTGTGGTGCTGTTGGTGAGAAGGGTGAAGATGTTGAGAAGGTGGTGGAGGTAGCTCCTTCTCATGTGAGTGATCAAAAACCCTGAATTGGGGCACCTTGAACCCTCCCAAGTTCAGAGAGAACGACATTCTGGTTTTAGCTCCGACGTCGTCATCGGGCGCGATTATGGGAACAAGCAGGTCAGATGCTATTCAGAGAGGGCCTACAAAAATGGTTGAACGTTCAAGATGGAATGAACAGCTTTCAATTGTGCCTGGACGCGTCTCTGATGGAAGGATTAGAATCTGAACACGCCGGAAGGAGCAAGCATGGGGGTTGCTCCCTGTATGCTACCTAACTATATACCATCACGGGACTTTGCATTACGGACAGGTCACGTTAAGAGGTTGCATAAACTGGGCGGATCGCGAATTTGCCCTTCCAGGTGCCAGCCTCGGGAGATTGGCGCCCCTGATTTGCAGGTGACAACTCAGCATCCAATGCAGGCAGTAGACAATTGCTTACATTACCAGAGTATCCTACGACTAGATGCCTGACGTACCCCGGGCGCAAAAAAGTCACACTGCACCTGTAATCTGTGAGAAAGGGTGTTCAAATTCATGCACCATGCATACACGTGTATGGGGAGTCAGGATGATGTGCATCGTCACCGGCGACGGGGATTGAAATTGATGGCCTTCTGTGACCACTATTTGTTGGAGACATGATCCGAGTTTTGGGGCACTTTGCACCTATCAGCTACCCGGTAGGTACCAATAGCAGAGCAACAGGGGAAACTGAGCTAAGCCAGGAGCTTCCCCATGACTGGCAGCGATCTGACAGTCTTATCAGCGCGGGAGCTTATCAGAGCGGGGCTACTAAGAATCTGCCCTGCCCCTCATGCATGGTGAAGGTGGGATGCTTCCCTTGGAGTTTTGAGTCATCCACCGAAAACATCGACTGCCATATTGGGCGACCCTGCGATTTACGATTTACTCAACGAAACTCCAAAATCCCTACTTAGGCCTTGAAACTTTCACCCGGCGGGCACGCAAACGGCACGATGGCGGAAGAGATTACCAAGTCGATGCCCAAGCTTCAGCTCGATGAGGAGACTGGGGAGATGGTCTCCAAGGCCGAGCTCAAGAAGCGCCAGCAGAAGCGAGCAAAAAAAGCAGCTCAAGAGAAGGCACGTCAAGAGAAAGCCGCAGCCGGTACCTCAGAATCCAACAAGCCAGCGCCCAAGCCTAAAACTGAGGAGCCAACCATTGATCCCCAAGCAATGTTCAAGCTCGGTTTCCTCGAAGACGTATACAAGGAGCGACCCTCTAAGGACGTTGTCACTCGATTCCCCCCCGAGCCGAACGGATATCTTCATATTGGGCATGCGAAAGCTATTGCCGTGAACTTTGGGTTCGCCAAGTACCATGGTGGAGTGTGCTATCTGAGATACGATGACACCAACCCCGAGAAGGAGGAGGAAAGATATTTCGAAGCTATTCAGGAGATTGTCCAATGGCTTGGATTCGAGCCTTTCAAAATCACATACTCCAGTGACAACTTCCAGAAATTGTACGACCTTGCGGAAGAACTCATTAAGCAAGGGAAAGCTTATGTCTGCGCCTGCAGTGGTAAGTATCACGAGACAGTGATAGGCTTGGAAATATGTTCCTAACCGTTGGTTTGACTTCTAGACACCGAGATCAAGGATCAGCGAGGCGGAGAAAAGGGTGCCCACGAACGCTACCGATGCGCACACGCCGACCAGAGCCCTGAAGAAAACCTCACCAAGTTCCGAGACATGCGCGATGGCAAATACAAGCCCCGAGAAGTCTTCTTGCGCATGAAGCAAGATATCACCGATGGCAACCCTCAGATGTGGGACCTTGCCGCATATCGTATTAAGACAGACACTCCTCACCACCGAACTGGTTGGGACTGGAAGATCTACCCTACCTATGACTTTACCCACTGTCTATGTGATAGCTTCGAAGGCATAACGCACTCTTTGTGCACAACTGAGTTTATCCTCTCTAGAGTCTCCTACGAGTGGTTGAACAAATCTCTCGGCGTCTATGAGCCTATGCAAAGGGAGTACGGCCGATTGAACTTGACCGGAACCGTTTTGTCCAAGCGCAAGATTCTCAAGCTAGTTGAAGATGGTTATGTCCGCGGATGGGATGATCCAAGATTGTATACGTTGATTGCTATCCGCCGCCGTGGAGTCCCCCCCGGTGCTATCCTAGACTTTGTCAACGAGCTTGGTGTGACAACCAGCACAACCACTATCCAGATCCACCGGTTCGAGCAGACGATCCGAAAGTACCTCGAAAAGACTGTGCCCAGATTGATGCTCATTCTCGACCCGGTACCACTTGTCATTGAGGATGCTGAAGCTGTCGATGTTGAACTACCTTTTTCCCCCAAGGACCCCAAGATGGGCTCGCACACTGTACGCTTCACCCCAACCGTCTACATTGACCGCTCAGATTTCCGAGAAGTCGACAGCAAAGACTACTACCGTCTTGCTCCCGGAAAGTCTGTCGGCTTACTCAATGCCCCCTATCCAGTCAAAGCAACCTCATTCACCAAGGATGAGGCAACTGGCAAGATTACAGAGATCAGGGCTGTTTACGATCGCGAGGGCAAGAAGCCCAAGACCTTTATCCAGTGGGTCGGTACCGAAGGTTCTAAGAAGGCTGAAGTACGAATTCACAACCCACTCTTCAAGTCAGAGAAGCCCGATGATGCCGAGGGTGGCTTCTTGAATGACATCAACCCTGAGAGCGAGGTTATCTACCCGGACGCAATAATTGAGTCAGGCTTTGACGAAGTCAAGAGAAGAGCACCTTGGCCTGAGGCAGCTGGCGAGAGTGAGCTTGGTAAGGGAGGACCGGAGAGTATCCGATTTCAAGGGATGCGAGTTGCATACTTCGTAAGTAGCCCCATCGAGCCTCTACCCAGGTGTTGTCTACTAACTTGATCACAGGCGGTGGATTCCGATAGCACTGACGACAAGATTGTTTTGAACAGGATTGTCAGCTTGAAGGAGGATGCTGGGAAGAACTGAGCACCCAGAAAGAATAGCATTTTCACATGAGAATTGGCGTGCGGAATCAAAGATGCAGGGGACATGGAGTTCTCGTCACTTAGACATAATAGAAAAAGTCTCGAGTAATTTGAATTACAATTCAGCCGATCAGTATATTCTAGTTTCTAGTGCCTTGCAGCTCTTCCCAAATTCTATTTATAGACCCTCTCTCCCGCGAATGGTCTCCAAGAGCCTTTCTACTGCTCATTGTCGTCAATTTCAGCCTTGCTTTCAAGGTACGATGGCAAATTCCTGAACGCTACATATCCAACATCGTTATCCGGGCGAACATCCGCTAGTTGCACTCGCATGTCTCTCAGCCATCTCGCTCTCTGTGGTCCCGGCATTGCACTTCCACAATCCAGTAGGGGGGTATAGGGGTTGTCGTGGGTCATGGAGCTGGCAAAGCCCACAACGTCGGGACCACGGATCAGCAACCGAAACGCCAACCCCAGACTTGCCAGAATCAAAAGGATAAAGGTGGTCGTAAGATGAATGGCCGTCCAGACCTTGTCTGTTCGATACACTTCGACTCTTGTCACCACGCTTCCTTCAGTTGAATTGTAATAAGTCGGGACAGCTGGCGAAACGGGCGAGTATATTTGGGGCCCGGGATCCTTGCCGAAAGAGATATCGGTATGGTTCAGAGGGTTCAGCGTTGCCATATGGAAAGTGTTGAAGGCGGAGGTCAGACGTTTTGAAACCACGCCCTCATCGTAGGTCGTCCAGTCTATGACCCCCTGCCTAGCATAGGGGTTTACATCTCCAGCGATATAAGCGTCTGTGGCCGAGGCTATGCGGTTGAAAAACCCCCCGTCAGCGGTGACGAATCTCCTAACCAACACATACATCGCCCTTGCTGACTTCATAGTCTGTTTCATCAGGGTAAATTTCGATTCCGGGACGTCAACGAGGCGCTGGCGCACAGCAGCGCAGCCAGGATTCTTTGAATTCAGGCCACACTCCATCTCTGTCTCAAGAACAACCGTGTCCATTGAGCAATTGAACATGATCATGTAGTTCTTGGGTGTGAGCCTACTGCTCATGTAGACCAAATGGGGGTTGCCAAATGACTCAATATAGTCCCAATTCCTGTTGTATTCTTCCCAAAAAACTCCTTGTGACCACTTGAGCCAGAAGCTTGTGCCATTGAGAACCCCCTTCCATAGATCAATCGTACCCCAAAGCGGGTCATATTGAGGCAGACCCCTATAGGTGCCTGAATCAAATGTTTCGTATCTATTGGTACAACCAAATTCCAGGAAAGACGTTTGGACAGAGAATTTTAACTGTGCATCACTCTGTTTTATGAAGTCCAGCCCTTGAATTTTTGTTCCAAGCAGAGAGTAATATTCGTTTTCGCCTCGATCAAGCGCACCCTGGTCGATCTCATACATCTCGCCTATTGCCTTGCTCTTATCCCTCTGGGGGATTTTCGGCATTTCCCAAAGATCTCGGGGTGCGCTCTTTTGGTCGGGAGGTTGGAGAAGTGAGGATGAATACAGAGATTTCACACTCAGTTCCGACACGTACTGGAATTCCATGCTCGAAAAACTCGAGACCTGGTAGGCCGGGTCGGCGTAATAGAGATTGCCGGACGACGAGATCTCGCGATGAGAATGATAAACCATCCTTGCGCCTGCCTGACCCCCCAAAGGAGACATAGCCCAAATTACAAAGATGACGAAACCAACTGACACGTGGGCACGAACAAAAAGCAATCTCTCTACCGCGCCAGCAAAGCTTTGGCTGCCCATTATCTGTTCAAGAACTGCAAGCCTTACCCCGTTAGGTTGCTCTAGGTTCCAACGGCTCAGGTTTTTATAGAAACGGGCAGCAACGGCAGCAATCAGAATGGGATAGATGGTGGGGACCAATCGGTCGATGCTTAAGATGGTTTCGCCAAGGGATGAGAACGGTTGGTTGTCGAGACATAGGGCCAAAACAGGGATAACTATATTATTGCGGAACGCCCAATTAGTGCTTGCTCATATTAACGTTAGGGTCAGGATCTGCCAAATACCTATGAAGAATGTGGGTGCGATTGTCAGGAGCACATCCCACACCAACTCCATATACCACGAGAAGTCTTTCTGGTTTAACCTCTGTTGGCCACCGTGCCAAGGCGGGCACTCTTTTTGCGAAGAATCCATTAACGAGTTTTCCTCAGCTGTCTCCGATGCAACCTCGACACATGATCGTGGCTTGAGATTCGCCTTCGTCTTCGCCTTGGCCAGGCTCTCATGGTCCATTGCACGATGATTTGAAAACAAGCTATATCACGGGATTAGACACAAAATATCCGGGGCTGTTTTATTTTATTTTATTTTTATTTTTTATTTTTTTTTCAAAAGAAGAAGGGAACTCTTACTGTTTGTTCATCTCAGAAATCCAGAAGTACCTGCCAAGCAACGCGAGCAGGACCACGGCAAAGACGAAAATTCCAACTGATAAGCCAATAATATCCGCTCGTGAAAGGGTACTCTGGGTTACCCCAGTGTCAATTTCCGAGGCATGATTGCTTTGTGGTGCTGGAACTGCGGTGTGTTCTGATTCTTCCGTGGTGTTGTCGCTTTTGGCTTGCACATAGCTGAATAGCTCTTCCCGTAATTCCTTGTATGGAGTCAAGGATATTGCATCCGTATAGAATCCCCCGCCATCCGAGTAGTAGTAAGCATCGAGATCGTAGGGCATGCTTCCTAGACATGAGGCATTGGTGCCGCGTGGCGCTCCATATTGCATATTTGACCAGGTACTTCCGGGTCTATCAGTGTAATTATCACTGCGGCAAATGAAGAACCACTTGTTCTTAAACTGCGCAGTTTCTTCTCTGTATGCAAAGGTTGAATTCGCAGGCCTAGCCGTTTTTTTATGGCAAGCACCCGAGTAATCTTCACACGGGTTATAGGTGCAACAACCAACGAACTCATAAAAGGATCCCTCGCATACATAGGGGTCGCCGCCCAATGGACATGAAAGCCCTAGGGCTTCGACCAACGCACGGTTGTTAGACATGGCTGCCCCTGCGTGGTACTCTCACAACATTGAAAGACACAGATGTTTAGAAGAGGGAACTCGACGGAGGAGCTCGTAAAGAAAGCAAGTGGGACGTGAAGAAGAAGTGTCTTGTAGCACACATGGCTTCGAGACTTCATATGGGAGTAGGTATATATGTAGGTAGCCATGATCTGACCTGCCTCTGATGAAGGACCAGTGGATATCCCATCACATATTCACAAGGCGCATCAAGATCTACCAACAGCGCTTATGGGAGAATCCAATTGGCCTGACCAGCGCTGCCGCCGCCAAGATTCAACGACGCCAGAGAGCGTCGATCCTGAAATCCGCAACGATGCAACTGTCTGTTGGTAGCAGACATTGTAGCTGCAGCTCTTGATTGGTCCGGGGCAGAAGGAATGTGGGATTACCGGGTGGCATCCTTGCAGGCTGGACTGCCGGATGGCTTGTCTTTGCCATAACGGGACACCTGTTGGCGCTTCATGCTGGTAGAGCAACGGAGAAGCACGCCGAAAGGTTGAGATGTCCGTATAATGAGCTGGTGCCAAGAGCGTGCATAGCAGAGGATGCTGCAACGTTGAACCAACTACATATTCTGAACCGTAGTGCGATATTTAAACTCGGCGGCAGTTGATGCTAATTTAGGCTGGAGCAACCCGCTGCAGTAACATAAACAGCTTAGCCTAGTGTCTGTTCCCATCGGCTCCTACAAATTGCCAACCAAAGGGGCCAATTTGCCGCCGCCAAGGAAACATTTGAAGAAGCTATCTCGCCCTGCCATTGATGCCAGAAAACCGGGCGTTTGAGCGATGACATTGCGACTGAGTCCCTACACGTTCATCCATATTCGCACCGGACTACTACCCGGATCCCATGACCTGAAAGCAATGCCGCCGTGCTGTCCCTCGCGCTCCACATCACATGTAGGGTAGTAGCCGACTTAGGGCTGAAGAAGAGATTGGCGATGGAGATGCCAAACGGTCGTGGGCGGCTATTTTAAGCTGTCTTCTGACGAAACGAGCGATAGGGGCAGCCCTGACTGGCCTGTCTGCTACCAGTCAATGGTCAACAGGCTGGCCAAAGGGTGAGCGAAGCTGTTTTGACTGTCTTGACATCGATAGCTAGGTCAGCTTCGTAGCATTTACTCGTCACATTGGAAGACAGGCTGTTCAAGGCCGCAGCAACTGCCCGTCTTAATAACAGACAGCTGGGTCAGCTATAGCAATTACTCGTCACGTTAGCAGATAAGTAGGTCGGCTGGACAGCTATCGCTTGTCACAGCAGTGGACAACTAGGTCGGCGATGCCGCGATCATTCGTCTTTACGAGAGACAGCCTGGCCAACTTCACAACTTGCTCGTCTCGGCGGTAGACAGGCTGGTCAGCTTCACAGCGATTACCTGTCTTGACGGAAGGCAACTAGGTCAGGGCTCGTCGCGTTGGAAGACGGGCCGTTCAGGGCTATAGCGTGTTGACTTCATGGTATGTAAAATTTTCTTTCGCCTGGGCAGCGGGCCTTTTCCCTGTAGTAGGCTTTTTGACCTGGGCAGTTGGCCTTTGTCGCCTGGGTAGCGGTGTGCTCGAAATGTCTTGGTGAAATTCCCGGAACCAACGGACCGGGGCGTGGGTTGGACTGTATTGGACGAAACCCGACGCAATGGCCCAGGTATTATTGTGTTTGGACTGTATTGGATAAAACCCGGCGCAATGGCCCAGGCATTATTATATTCAGACTGTATTAGATTAAACCCGGCGCAATGGCCCAGGCATTATCATATTCAGACCGTATTGGACGAAACCCGACGCAATGGCAGGATATCAATCCATCGCCTTCTGTGAGTCCACAACTGGTGCCTTTCCCAAGGCGAATTATTGCGCCTCTATCTTGCTAGTACACTTACTCAGCTAAAGAAGAGCATAAGAAAGATCTATCAAAGACAAAGATGGAAATGCTATGTATTTGTATCCCCTCTTTATCGAGTACGCAACGCGATTGAGCCTTGAATATACCAGAAGAAGCTGATCCAGCGCCTGCCTTAGGCTTCCTTTCCGGGGGTATGATCCTCGCGAGAATAGTCTATTTGACTGACCCGGGGGTATGATCCTCTCCTCGTGGAAATAGTTGCCACAGTCAAGTTATCCACTTGTAACAGTCTCAGTGCCTGAGCTCAACCAGCATTGTTCGGAGAGACCAGTATCCTTGTTTTCTCCATATCTCATTTTGAAAAGTGCCGGGACATGGCCGGCATACCTCGTCCTGAGAAGAGAGAGGCGTGACTGATTGCCCGTTCAGGAATTCAGGATGGCGGACTATCTGGGGGTAGTTGCTGGCAAAAACTGTATAAATATCAAGACATCTTCCCTCTATTCTATCGAATTTCTCTCAGCATCCTACAATCATTCTTCACTCTCTACTTCTAGATTTCCTCTACTCTGATTCAAAACTTTTTACCCTTTTTAACATTCACCATGCGTTTCTCTACCATCATCGCCTCTTCCATGGTCTTCTTCGCCGCGAGTGGCGTGGCTTTGGACCTTGAGAGGCGCGCAGAGGCTGTTGCTCTGGGAGAAGAGTTGATCGCCCGAGGAGAACACCTCATCGCTCGAGGAGAGCACCTGATTGCTCGAGCTCCTCCTGCTAAGAAGCCTGCTGCCAAGCCTGCCGCTAAGAAGCCCGCTGCTCCCGCCAAGAAGCCTGCCGCTCCCGCCAAGGGCGGAAGAAAGGCAAGTTTCAGTTTCCACTATACACAAGAGTCATTATACTAAACTTTAATTAGGATAACCGGGCGAAAGGTTTCTGCCTGAAGCAGGGTAGATACGGTGTCTGCCAAACCCCCCAGGGATCTCCCGAGTGCTCTCCTACTTCGCCCGTATGTATCCTTGATATTTTCTGGCGAATTATATTGACATATTGTTCTTAGTGTAACCCGGATTTGGGTGTTTGCTACTGGGGTCCTGCTGGTGTGCTCTGCGAGAACCAGTCGTAAGCTTCTTGCTGACATATGTCCTCCTACCTATCTATCAACATGACCCCGGAAACCGCAATAAGACAATAAGATGGTTATCTTGAAATCCGGGGGATTGTACTGGAGGCACTGTATCGTCCAGAGCTGGGACATTTTACTGATGAGGCTGTGAGGTGTACCTATTCAACCTAACTATAGGTTGGAACCTCAGCTAGTCTCATTTCATTCCTTACAACGGAGCTGTGCTCCATACTACTAGACATTTATTCTATAGAAATGCTTGTGACTGTTATTATCCTAATATAACTCTGCTCGCTTATCTATAATCGCAACGTTGAGAACTGGGAATTTTGATCATGAAAGCTAATACTTACAATGGAACTCTCACTACTATGGCTAATGCTCAGAACAAACATCTACATATCAGCAGTGGTTTCACAAGACGTCGCAGTAGATTATGTTCCGCTGTTGAATCTTTCAGACTCTGGTTTTGAATTTGCCCAGTAGGCACCAGAAAAACAAGGACCGCAGAAGTCTCCTATATTGTCTCAACTCTCTTATACAGGCCACGCAGTATTCGGTAGTAGCTGAAAAGTTCTTGATTTGTCAAGATTGAGTGCATTTGCTATAGCTTCACGATTACATCTAGGAAGCATCAATATCTAGCTACCTATGCCACAGGTGTTCGCTGTCTCTGTTTTTTTCTCTCTCTCAAAGTCACTTTCTCTCCTTATGGCCCAGTCTTGGGTGGTTGATCTGTTGGAAGGGAGAGAATGCCCACCGAAGTTGAATGTTGGCTCGACCTTGACAACCAATGCCATTAACCTCCACTGTGCCCCCCTGCTACCTTGTGTCTGGTGAGAAGCCCCTCACTATAGGGCAACATGCTTCACATACCGTATTATCTCGGAAACCCGTGTTCCTGGAGCCCCCATTTCCTCCCCTGCCATACATAGCCTCCCAATTGAACGCCCGGCAGTTAAGCTACACTCGATATCTATTTGTAGTTACATAGTCTACTGAGCAGGCAGTAGAACTGGGGCGCCAACATAAGGTAATTGAATACGGTATTCACAACCCTCGGCAGGTCCCAGCGCTGCCGCCAATGTACGTCTTCTTAATCGTGCAACCGAGTCACTCCAGCCTTACGACTGGCCCCTTCATCCGTTGAGCGTAGCAGGAGTCATTATTTCTCAGTTGGGGCGCGCAAACGCTCGCGCTAGACAGAGCTGAACAGTTAGCGCAGCTTGGCCATGCAGGAACCAACCGAAGATGCGGGGAGTGATGATTTAAATTACCGTCTCCAGGGGCTGAGCCAGCCGAGGCGTTTTCTGGATAGCTTTGTGAGTGTTAGGCGGAGCGGCGGGCGGCGTCGATGGTGTGCATTTGCTTTTCAGGAGAATGGGACGGGCAAGTAGAAAAAGGGGCCCAAGAGAGCTCTCGCCTGTATTAGGCATCTTACCTCGGCGCCATATCCTGCACTCCTTGAAGGACATTGCATCAGTCCACAGCCATCATGTCTATGTAGGCAGAACCCACCATGTCCCGTTATAGGAGTTGAGGGTATTTCCAAGCTAACCCTCGTCCACAGACCCCTCAAAGTCAAGGTCGCCATCCGGGACCTCTGGGACAAGCCAGACTCCCCCGTCCAAGAGGCCATCACCCGCCTCAAGAATATCCTCGGCCTGGATTTCATGTGCGAGCCTGCCTGGCCTCTGCTCACCACGGAATTAAGCCCCCACTATGACGACAACAGCGAGCTGGCCAAGTCGGTCATCAACTTCGTCAAGGTCTGGGTCGAGGCCATGACGGAGCTGCTCGATGACGAGGAGAACTCGGAATGGGCAGATTCCATCGTCGACCTTGTGAAAGACAACGGCGCAGCATTGAAGCTTCACCTCGAGGTATACTATGTTCCTTCCAGCGTCACATGCACCAAATCAAAGATGCCACTCCCGCCTCCAACTCAATCTATTTGTCTAACATGCCCTCCGTATAGGTCAAGTCTGGGGATGCCTCCACAGCATGGTCC